GAAAAAAGAAAAAAAAAAAAAAAAGGCCGGAGGAAGTGGAGAGTGACGTGGGAGGTGATGTGGAAAAATTTAATGTGCCACGTGAGCAAAATTTACACATTGGTATACCCACGTCAGCTGTTTCAGTTAAGTTAACGTAACACGTGAGCAAAATTTAACGGAAGGACTAAAAAGGGGCCGGATTTGTGAACAGTAAGGACCAAAAAGAGGATTTTTTTGGTACAGGGACTAAAAAGGGGCTTTTTCCTATAGTAGAGGGACCAAAAAGGGTATTTAACCAAAGAAATACATAAGCAAATCTGTCGGAGGTAGTACATAAAGGTGAGGAGGATACCCATACCAACGGAGTCACAATGGAAGAGTTAGATCTGGCCCTTGTGAAGCTGGATGACCTCAGGGCCGATGTACAAGATCCATTGAAGGAAGTTAATCTGAGAACAAAGGCAGAGCCACGCATTACTTTTGTCAGTGGCTTGCTATCGCTAGAGATGTGAGATAAAATAATCTGTTTACTACACGAATTAAAAGACTACTTTGCCTAGGATTATTCTGAGATGCCAAGTTTAGACCGAGAGTTGGTAGAGCATAGACTACCAATCAATAAAGGATATAAGCTGTACAAATACCCGCCACGTCGTATGTCTCCAAAAGTGATTTTGAAGGTGAAGGAAGAAGTAGAGCGGCTACATAAAGTTGGTTTTATACGGACAACCAAGTACTCATGATGGTTGTCTAATATTGTTCCAGTAGTGAAGAAGAATGGAAAGCTTAGAGTCTGCATTGATTTTCGAAACTTAAATCTAGTCACACCAAAGGATGAAGACCCCATGCCAGTAGCATATTTACTTGTTGATGGGGTTGCATACCATCGCATTTTATCTTTTATGGATGGGCATAGTGGCTATAATCAGATCTTTATTACAGAGGAAGACATAAGTAAAGCGGCGTTTCATTGCCCTGGAAACATAGGTACGTATGAATGGGTTGTGATGCCGTTTGGGTTGAAAGATGCAGGAGTTACATATCAACAGGCCATGAATGCAATTTTCCATGATATGATTGGCCGCTTCATGGAGATTTATATCGATGATATTGTTGTCAAATCCATGGAGGATGAAGAACATTTAGAGCACTTGAGGAAAGCTTTTAAAAGAATGCAACAACATGGTTTGAAGATGAATTCTCTCAAGTGTGCTTTTGGTGTTACAGCAGGAAACCTTTTGGGTTTTCTAGTCCATGAACGAGGCCTAGAGGTGGACAAAAACAAAGCAAGGGCCGTAATTGAAGCGCGACCACCACAAAATAAAAAGGAATTACAAAGGTTTCTTGGTTAGGTTAATTTCCTAAGGAGGTTTATCTCTAATTTGGCGGGTGAAACTTGTGTCTTTTCACCTTTTTTGAAGTTGCAACCTGATGCAGATTTTAAATGGGAAAGGCAGCACCAAGCCGCCTTTGATGCCATCAAGGAATACTTGTCCAAGCCACCTGTGTTGGTTCCTGCAGTTAAGAATAAACCCTTATTGTTGTATATATCCATGCAGATGCGTCAATTGGCTGTCTACTGGCGCAAGAGAATAACAATAAACAAGAACAAGTTGTTTATTATTTGAGTAGGGCTTTGAATGCGACTAAAGTGAAATATTCTTCGGTTGAAAATTTGTGTTTGGCTTTGTTCTTTGCAACAATAAAATTGAGGCACTATTAATTGTATTCGGAGGTGTTTGTTGTTTCAAAAACTGATGTCATAAAATATATGCTATCATAGCCCCTCTTAAGAGGCCACATTGGTAACTGGATTCTTACACTTACTGAATTTAATCTGAGATATTTGCCTCAGAAGGCTGTCAAAGGATAGACTTTAGTAGACTTTTTAACAGATCATCCTTGTTTAGATGTTAACGTTGATGAAGACAAGGGAATCAATCTCTTTTCGATTGACTTGGTTCCTTGGAGGCTTATTTTTGATGGGTCTAGCATTGATCAAGCCTTTGAGGCTGGAATTATTATTGTTTCTCCAAATGGCATAAAAACCCAATGGTGTTTTCAATTGGATTTTGAATGCACCAATAACCAAGCAGAATATGAAGCTTTAGTAATTGGCCTTGAGTTGTTGATAGAGTTGAAGGAGCCATCGGTTGAAATTGTGGATGATTCTCAATTATTTCTCAAGCAATTGAGTGGCAAATACAAGTGTACAAGCGTAGTTTTGTCTCCATATTTCGCCACTGCCATCCAACTATTGGAGGAATTTGATGATGTCTCCTTGAAGCATAATCCTCGCATGATGAATGTTAAAGCAAATGAACTTGCGCAAATTGCTTCAAGTGTAAAAATGCCTAGGGGCATCTTGGAGAAAGTCATTGTCATTGAAAAACGTATGCTGCCTTCAGTTCATCAAAAAGGGATAACAGTGGAAGCATGCTCACTAGATGTCACACCTACAGACTGGAGACTGGAGGCATCCAATAATAGAACATTTGAGGAATCCCAGTTCTAAAACATCAAGGAGAACGAGGATGCAAGCTTTAAACTATGTGCTACTAGGAGATGTCCTGTATCATAAGGGACAGGATGAATTATTATTACGCTGCCTCGGTCCTGATGAAAGTTGCCATGTGATGTTAGATGTTCATAATGGTATTTGTGGTGCTCATCAAGTAGGGATTAAGATGAGATGACTAATTTGAAGGCATGGTTTCTTTTGGCCATCTATTCTTAAGGATTGCATCAATTATGCGAAGGGTTGTAGAGCTTGTCAATTGCATGGTCCTTTGCAACGAGCGCCAGCTTCTAAGTTACATCCTATTGTCAAGCCATGGCCTTTTCGTGACTGGGCAATTGATTGAATTGGGAAAATTTATCCATCTTCTTCTAAAGGCCATTCTTTCGTAATAGTTGCTATCGACTACTTTACTAAATGGGTGGAAGCAAGGCCTATAAAGAAGGTTGAGCAAGGAGTTGTCATCAAGTTCATAAAAGAGGATCTGATCCACAGGTTTGGCCTTCCAGAGACTGTCACTTCTGATCAAGGTACTGCCTTTGTTGGATCTCAAGTAGAGGCCTTTATAAAAGGCATGGGATTTCGTTTGCTTAATTCAACTCCGCATTATGCACAAGCAAATGGTCAAGCAAAGGCATCTAATAAGATTATCATCAACATCCTGGAGAAAATGGTTGATGATAATCCCAAGAGATGGCATAAGCTTCTTTCAGATACTCTCTAGGCATACAAAACCTCACAACAAAGTTCAACTAAGGTGACCACATTCTTGATTACTTACGGTTATAATGCTATCTTGCCTATGGAATTAACGGCAAGGTCTCTACGGATTGCAATTCAAAATGGCTTAAATGCTGGGAAATACAATGAGGCCATGATCATGAAGTTGGAAGACCTTGAGGAAGCAAGGCTGACAGCATTGGATGCGATGAAAGTTCAAAAGCTTAAAGTGGCACAAGCTTACAACAAAAGGGTCAGGCAAAAAAATTTAGCCGAAGGAAGCTTGGTTTGGAAGGCTGTGCTGCCGCTTGGCAAGAGGGATCCCAGATATGGTAAGTGGTCCCCTAATTGGGAAAAACCATTCCAAATTCATAAAGTTCTTAAAGGGGGTGCTTATTGGTTAAAGTCTTTGAATGGAGAGTTGCATCCGCGCAAGATCAATGGCATCTACTTGAAACCATATTATCCGATTGTGTGGGAGGCACGAGATAATTCTGCCTCCACGTCTGCATGATCCAGGTTTGCAGACATTTATATATTATTTGATTCAAGTTGTTTTTTTTTTCAATAAGGACACGTAGAGTTTTGGCTTGAATTATGAAAGCATACATAAGATTTGGTGCTGCTAAGGAGGCATGGCATATTCTTACATTTTTGTTTTGGAGCAGCTTTGTTTGCAAAAGGCGTGGGCATCATGAATTAAGTAAGCAAATAAATTCATCGTTCATCATTAGAAGAAGGAAGAACCGAAAAAAGTCTGGAAATAAATGTTTAAGCGGCTCAATGGCCGCAACAAGGATGAATGATGTTCAAAAAAAAAAAACCTAGCAAAGGTTCTGCATCCAAGCGGCCTACTCATCTCTCATTTGCTACAGTGTGTTGTTGGCTTCCTTTGCTTTCTCCTCCTATTGTGCAGCCTCACTCTTTGCAGCCAAAGCTTCACATTCTTCTTCCTAGAACTCAACTAGTAATTTGCTTCTTTCGGCTTTCAAGGATTTGAGGCTTCCTCCTTGCTATAACTCTTGGGCAAGAAATTGGTTGGCCATGGCTAGAATGGCTTGACAGAGACGATGCGAAAACTAGAAAAACAAAAAGAGAGAAATGGCCGCAAATCTGTGATGATGGTTGTCGGAGGAGTGGCTGTGTTTTATAATGAATTGGAGTCGATCATGTTTTCGAGTCCTAAGTGGTGAAGAATTGCGATTGTGTCACAGAAGTTGCAGTTGCCCACGTTTCCAATTCCAAAATAGAGAAGAAATGTAAACAGCAAAAGAGGACAAAGGCACAAAGAAGTTGAGTATTGTCACTAAGGTCCTAAATTTTTTACACCTACTCCCGTAAGGCCAAAAATTGGGGGACAATGTTTATACCTAATTTTACAACAAATGAAGTGCTGTTATGTGTCACCCATGATGGCAAATATTTTATTAGTTGAAAGTTGGTGTAAATCTCTTCAGATGAGATTGAGCGATTATTTCCACAACGGCAACAAAACCATTCTCTTGTTGCGAGCTTCTAGGAGGATAATTGCAGCACCAACAAATTAATCGGTTTGTTGCAGATATCACGCTGCCGTTGGTTTTTCAAGATGCTGCCGTTGGTTTTTCAAGATGCTACCGCAGATCTCCACCATGCTGCCAAGGTGTTATAAATACCTAATGATAAGATCAAGTAAATGATCGACATCTCACACAACAAACTCAGCACAATTTCTCTTTATACTCAGATTCATCTTAGTTTCAAGCCCTTTAATTTAATTTCAACTCTATGTTTCAGCCTAGATTAGTTTAGTAATTTAGCTCTTCATTTGTTGGATTTGTAATGATGAGTTTCATTGCCTTCAGTAGTATTTTTCTGTGATCGAATTGCTTCTTTTCCTTTTCTATTTTTCAAGTTTCATTTAAATAAATCAAATGATGTCGACATTTAATTTCATGTTCAATTCCATTTCTGTTAATTTATATTTCATGCTGCTAATAGACTTTCCTTGTTTTCGGTTTTATTTATTTTAACTTAATTTACTTTTGCTGCAATTAAATTTCCTTTTAAATCTCTGTTTCAATCCAGTTTGCGTATTTAAAATTCGTTTAGATTTTCAATAATTTAGCGATCATTTATTTTCCTTGTAGTTTTAACTTTTCTTGATTACATTAGTTTTAAGGCGTCTTTAGAATTATATTCAGGACATTTTGCTATATAACCCATTTAGTGCAAGAAGCTCATCCCTCGTTTCTGCCAATCGTCTTATCTTTAAGACGCAATTTACGACATTTTTCCATCAACTCACAAGCTAAGTTCCACGCTTAAAAAGAAGAGAGGGTCGTTGGAAAAATCTTTTTTATTTTGAGCAAAACAAGTGATACACCATTTCATCTGCGGAGATTTTTTGGGATAACAAGTATAACTATTATTTATAATTTTTTTAAGTAATTAATTATAATATATAAAAATATTAATTTATAAAGTAATTTTAATTTATTAAATAATAAATATCAATTATTCTATTATTAATTGTCTTAACTATCAGTACGTTACCTTTATAAATTAATACGTGACATACATGACATACAGGAGTGTGGGAAAGCTTTATTCCACCTAGACCAATTATTGATTGTAATTGCTTTCGAAATAATCTTTACCTACATAAACATCGAAAGTCGACATCTAATGGGAATATAAGCATTTTTTAATGATCCAAATCAACAACTCTACAGACAATCAAACATTAAAGAAATACTGAAAATTGGCCACCAGACATCACACCCTTACTAGAGCAGTTAATACCAAAACCTGTTGACGGAATATATATATATATATATATATATGCATCAAAACTAGTCACCAAGACCCTTTACAGGCAAGCAGACATCAACCCTATGCATAAAATAACTGGCATTTCCTACCATATTAAAATCCTAAACTAATAGCATACTACTATTAACAAGGCCAAATAGAGTTCATACACTGGGAATGAGTAAAAGCATGTCAAATTATATATTTTAAAGGCACTAAAATAGACAGCAAAAGGTTGCATTAGACGTTCTAACTTGTTCAGATCCATGGTAAATAGATAAAGAAAATTACTTATTTATCCACAATACCAAGGACCAAGCCTTTGTCCATGATGTGGAAAGGATAATCAACTCACAAAGCTTCTGCAACACTGTAGTGCATCTTTGTGTGTGATTTTTTAAGAAAACTACTTCCACAGTAGGGGTCAGGACTGCCAACTTCAAACTCATCAACGCCATCAGATTGTTCAGAACTCCCACCTCTCCGGAGATGTTTTTTGTCTTTGCCACCACCACCACCCCCACCCCGTGAGGAGTTGCTGCCCTTCTGCCCTTTCTTTCCATTTTTCTTGTTGTTTTCATTGTTGTTCTTCTTGGACTTCTTCTGCTTCATGCCTCTAGCTAGCTGTACTGTGCCAATGGATGGTGCAGGATCATAAACATCAGGGGCCCATGTAACTGTCAGCAGCTTCTTTGGCAATATGCCTTGTTTCTCACGGCTACCTTTCATAGCAGACATCAGGTTCAAAGGAATCTAACAAAGCAAAAGAGGGGGGAGGTAAGTAAGAAACAAAGCTTCCTCATTCATAAATAAACCTTGAAAAACATTTACCAAAAAACACAAAACAGCATTACCAACCAAAACAGATCTAAACAACTAACTAAAAGCCTAAATTCCTGAGATGTAGAACACGCAAGGCCTAAACAATAATATAAAAACTTACAGGAAAAAGAGATTCCTCGCCAAAAATTATCCTCAGAGCAGATCCAAATTCCTCATCATCTTCTTTAGGAGAAGCATCACAGTTCGGACCAGGTTTAGTCTCATGCTCTTTCAGTTCTTCATAAAACTCCTCAACATCACTATTTTCATTTCCATCAGATTCATCATCATCATCCTCATTCAAATAACCATTAAGTATAGCCCGCTTTATGTCACTGAGGTCATCAGCATCTCGGCAATACAGGTCCATTAGGAAAATCAGCTGTCACAACAAATGAACTGAACAACAATAGAAAGAATTAGTTAACAATAAAGATAAACTTAGAACCCACCACCATAATAATATCTACAATACAAGAGAATTAAAACATTGCTAAAGAAATAAAAAAACCAAAACAAAATCTCAAACTCCTTCTTGGGAGGTAATCTACTTCAGCAATTAGACTGAAAAATTATGGTTGAGATGATTTCTAAATTCACCACTGTTTTAATTCGGGTCATCCTCTGAAGAAAAACTTCAGACTTCAACATAAAAATTGAAATAAAAACAATCTGAATGAGAATTTTTTTTAACAGCCACATCACAGCCTCCTCTATTTGTCTCCAATTCCCTTTACAATACCCACAAAAGCATATGAACCAAATTGCAAGCAGAACTCGTTATAATTACACTGGACAATTAAGCAACACGGAGAGAAACAGACAATACCAATTCCAGAAACAATATCAAGAAATCGTTATTCCATCAAACATTCCATGATGCTTTAAGAAATTATATGTCAAACATGGGTCTAGAAAACTGCACACTAGATAAATCATCCATCTTTTTAATTAAAATAATCATTCTAGTTGAAATATAATCGAGCCAAATTTCAGCTAATACTACTCCAACAGGCATCAAACACAATAATATCAACAAAATCAAAACGGATACATACCTTCTATTTAGAAATCGCAAGAAAAACCACCGGAAAGCACCAGTTCACAATCGATCGAGACTCCGATTTCTTAAAAAGATGATTCCTTGACTCGTGCGAGAGGAGACCTAAAACAGGGAACCTAAAAGAGCACCAAGAGAGAGAAAGAGAAAACTGAAAACACTAAACAAGAAAAAGGATCCTAATGTTAGCTACGATCACCAAGCCGATCACCCTTTTCGAGATGTTTAAAACGATGGGAACCTAAACCACCATGAAAAAGAGCCAGAGAAGGAATCAGGGGGAGAAAAATAGCTTCGATGGGCAACGAAGGCATTATACAGTTACGCTCTTCGAAACCCTAATTCCCACGGAATTCACAAAAAGGAAATCCCACCCTATATTTCCGTTTAAAATCAGAATCAAGAACCGAGTTTTTCTGGATTGAGAAACTCAAACCCTAACCCTAACAATGAATGCTGGATGTATCACCGGAGACGGCGACAATAATCCAGTGAAAACAAAACGGGATTGAACGTCGGAGGAGATGAGGAGCGGAGGGAGACTGGATTAGAGAAGGGCTGGAGGAAGAACGGGATAATAGTATTTATAGGGGGAGGAATCCTGTGGGTCAAGGAATATTGACAGAGCGAATCTGAAACGTACACGTTTTGGTACTTGTTGGAATCGGACTGGGATTGGGATATTTAGGGTTTTTGGGTTTTGGTTTAGCTAATCCGTGAAAATCGGTTCGATTGTTATGGCTAATTAAGCTCGCGGATTAAGGTAATCTTTTTAATTTTTATTACACAGTTTGAATTTGCTATTTATGGACAACCAATGGGGAGTTACGAATCAAAAGTTGTGTTTGGTTTAGTGATTAAGGATAGTTAATATTCTTTCCGTCTAAAATTATCTAAATTAATTGTAAGTATACTCGATTGTAACAAAAGATTTAGTTTGGGGTCAACATTAAGATTGTCCTAAACTCTAATGATCTTCGTTCCACCAAAAAAAAAAACAAGCCTCGAACGATTTAAGCCCCAGGGCCCCAGATATTTCACCCTTTGGGCTTACAAAACAATGGAGCCCATTGAAAACTTAAAATAAAACTGGTAAATCATAAAATGTTCATATGATATTGTACAAATTTATTTCAATCATTTTCCTAAGTTTAGATACCAAATATATAGAAAAAAAATTCTTTTACCATTAATTTTTTTCTTAGCATATTTCTAAAAAATATTTTTTCAATAAATGCATACAATTTCACCCAAAAACATCCAAAACGCCAAAACCACAACCATTTACTAAAAATATTTTTGCTTGAACAATTTGAAATTATACACATTAATGCTTCATTTAATTTAATTATTATTAATAATATTATTAATTTAAATACTTTTATTTTATATTTTTACCTTTATACTTTTATTTGTTAAATTAAATAGAATTATAGTGTGTTTAGCTAATTTTACTAACTCATAGCTTTTTTTCTTTAGAAAAACTAGTTAATACGGTTTCTAATATAAGCCTAAAATCATATTTAAATATCAATATTTTATTAATTATTAAATAACAAACACAATCATTACATAAACCAAAAAAAAAAAAAGCCACAACCTCTAACTATTCTTAGCCATCAAACTAGTATTATGCAATTCAAAATAATATTAAATTACACAACTTAAACAATTGATAAGATACTCTCTCTTTAATAGTTTATGTTATGTAATTAGTAATTAAAAAATCAATAAATAGTCAAAGGCATTGCCTAATAAAAAACCTAAATTGAAGCTTTTGTATCTTCGGCCAAAAAAAAATTTGCATCTTATTTTGTGACAAAGATCGTGGCACATTTTCATTGGCTAATTATTTCGTACACAGATCGCAGCACATTAATCTACAACCGTCGATTAAACCCTTATATCCAACGGCCATTTCCTCTCCATCTCAAAACCAAAGCTCTCTCATCCCAGTTTCTGACCAGCTCTTATAAATCTCACATCTTCACGCCAAAAGGATCCTATTCCTCGAAAAGAATTTTCCGATTGCTTCTCGGGAAAAAGCGAGTCAATTTCCTTATCCAACTAAATTATTTGGTGATGGAGACGGGAGGAAAGGTTAAGAAAGGTGCCGGAGGAAGGAAAGGAGGCGGTCCAAAGAAGAAGCCAGTGTCTCGCTCGGTAAAAGCCGGCCTTCAGTTTCCTGTCGGTCGGATCGGTCGCTATCTCAAGAAAGGCCGTTACTCCCAGCGCGTCGGTACCGGTGCTCCGGTGTATATGGCCGCCGTGCTCGAATACCTTGCCGCTGAGGTAATTTCTTCCCGAAATATTCTGGTTTTAAGTTGCATCGCTGTTCCGTTGCTGTCAAAGTGAAACTTCTGTTTCTAGGTTGTATCTCTCTTCTTTGATGTTTAGTATTTACGATTTACTTTGTGATTGGAGCAGAGAAGGGATAAAAAATCTTTAGATTCAATTCTGGAATCCCAGCTGTGCTTTATGTTTGAGTTCTCTGGTTTTATGTGTAGTTTCTATTTTTGTTCTATTAGATTTCTAGAATTTATAGGCAGAGGATACTGTTGTTTGCGAAAGCCAGAGAGCTGAAGTTTGGAATTCTATTAGCTAACACAAGTGAATACTCACTCTTTTTAGATCTCGAAAGCGCCTGTCGGTATAAGATTTACCTTCAATTTGGGGTCTGCTTTCTTTGGTTTTTTTGGGTATATGGGACGGTTAGCTGCTTCGCATTGCAAAGTTTGAAAGCCTAACCTTGACCACAAAGAGGCTACGTTCTTTGTTGGTTGTGCATCATTGTAGTTTTGAATCTTGATTAGTGAATTTTACGACCTTATGGATCCATCGTTTTGCTACTTTACCATGACTGTTTGATAGGTTAATTAGGTTTTCTTCTGTTCAGGTTCTTGAGCTGGCTGGGAATGCCGCAAGAGATAACAAGAAGAACAGAATCATCCCCAGACATGTTCTCTTGGCCATAAGGAACGATGAGGAACTCGGGAAGCTTCTAGCTGGAGTGACAATTGCTTATGGTGGAGTCTTGCCTAACATCAACCCAGTCCTCCTGCCAAAGAAATCTGACAAGGCAGCAGCAGCACCAACAAAAGAGCCCAAATCTACCTCCAAGGCCACAAAGTCTCCTAAGAAGGCTTAGTCTGATCTTCTATTTTCTCTCTGTATGTAATTTCCTCTCTTGTACCTGGCTTGTAGGAAAAACTTCATGTCCGGTAGGAATCTTGACCATTTGTGTACTCTATTCTGTTCATGTAGGACATGTTTTGTTTGGAATGAATGCCGCGATGACATTTCCAAGATTTTATTTCTTCTTTTTGGCATCAGCTGAGATTCTGATGTGCTTTCTTCATTATGGGTATGTTTCAGTTTACCTATATATCCACGTCTACATTATTCTAGTTTGCCAATGATAGAATTAAGTTTGTGTGTTGTTAACTAATGGGTGGATGATGTAAACATCTATGAGGGTGGTTTATCAACTCTGAACTGAGAATACATGGTAAAGGTGTTCATTCTTACCTACAACCTGCGAAGACAAAGACAACCTACCAAGGAAGATTTGAAACTGTTAAATGCTCAGAATAGTATGAATAGACGAATAGTGAATTGTCAACTGTTAAACTAAAGTTAAAAAGGAAAACAAAACATGTTAGCATGAAAATGAGTCATTGAAATTCATAAATAAGCCCACTAATTTTAAGTCATGATAAGGAGAGGTAGGAAGGGCGTTAGCATCCAAGAATTTCTTTTACATGTGGAGGATAAGAATCTTTTGAGCACAAAAACCAAAGTCTGAGGAAGAAATAGTTTATGTTCAATTCCTAAGCATTCCTTGTCGGCAGATAAAATCAAAGAATATTTGAAAAAGAAACTGGTTTTCATCACTGATTCATTTACATGTCTAATTGTGATATTTCAACTGTTCTAATTTTGCTCTAATTTCATTTCAATATCTAATGAATGTGATGCCAATCCGGTCAATAGAATCCCTAATTCTCAAGACAACATCAAGTCAATCAGAATCCCCAAAACCACTTGAAATTCTCAATTATCAGGGATAAATTAATATGCAAAAAAAAAAACAAAAAATCAGATTTCCAGATTCAAACGCCTCCATTAGGGGAAATAAAATGTCTAATTATCTGTTGATTACAACTAAAACTCAGCGATGATTTAAAAAATGAAAGAAATTTGCCTAACAAATCAAACCAAACAGCACCAGATCTCAATAAAATTAAGGAATCTAAGAACTGGTGAACTTGGTAACCGCCTTGGTACCCTCGGAGACGGCGTGCTTGGCCAACTCACCAGGCAACACCAATCTGACTGCCGTCTGAATCTCCCTCGAGGTGATCGTCGGCTTCTTGTTGTACCTAGCCAAACGGGAGGCCTCCTGCGCCAATTTCTCAAAGATGTCGTTGATGAAACTGTTCATGATGCCCATGGCCTTGCTGGAGACCCCGATATCGGGATGAACCTGTTTAAGGACCTTGAAGATGTAAATCTTATAGGTCTCGGTACTCTTCTTTATCTTCTTCTTTTTCTTATCGCCGCCTTCCTTGGAGATCTTCTTCTCAGCCTTTGGCCTCTTCTCAGCAGAGGCAGGGGCTTTCTCCGCCACCGGCTTTTTCTCTGCCGGCTTCTTCTCTGCCTTGGGAGCCATTGATCGGAGACGATGAAATTTCTAGAAGAGAAGAGAGACGGAGGCAGAGAGGTAAGGAGAAAATTGAGGAATTCCGTGGGGCAAGAGGTGAGGGATTGTATTGATATAGAGGTGAGATGAGTTCTTATTGGTTTTTAGGGTTTCACGCGGATACCTGACGTGGCATTGAATGGACGGTCGGGATATGAGGATTCTTGGAAAATGTAGAAATGGAAAGACGTTTTTAGGCTTTCTGTTTAGTCTTTGGGTTGGGCCTAACCGAAGGCCTAGAAATTGGGCCGTCACTTTTAGAACAAACAAATTCCACCAGACCGTTACTCTATTTGCATCTGGGTTATCAGCCCACTTTCGTTATAAGGTGAACTCACCAGTCACCTTTAAATCCCTAGATTTGTTAAAAATAAGAATATAAGCTTTTAAAATTTTTTAAACTGAGGGCATGGCCCTTTTTTTAACACGTTTATACAATTAAAAATAAAAATAAAATACTTAACGTGACTCAAAATACTCGAGTTTCATGTTCACAGTTCTAAATAAGAGTGTTAATAAGTAGAGTAATTCATGTGTAACTTATGAACCATTTGAGTTAATTTGTTTGGTAAATAAGTTGAGGTTGAACTTGATTAAATAAATGAGTTTGAACTTGAACTACTATAATTACTTATGAGTTATTCGCCGTGTACTTGGTTTAAAATTAAAAATTATATTATGTATTTATTTAATAAATTTAAATAAAAAAAGTACATGTCAGTTTTGACTCTAAAAAATTATTAAATTTTTAATATTAAATTATTTTATTTTATTTAATTAAAATTCAATTCAAAATTTAAAATTTTATCTTATTAAATGTTGATATATTAAAATATGAGTTTTTTTTATCATGTACCCGTAAAGCATAGAATAAGGGTGCATTTATTATATATTTTTATTATTAATCATGAATTAATTTACATAGAAAAATAAAAAAAGTTAGCATTAATTTTAACATCTATAACACATGGATATTTTTAATTAGAAAATTAGTCAAATTAATATTAATTTTTAGTTTTAGTATGTGTACTAATGATAAAAATGTACAATAAATACACACTTATCCTATGTTCTTATGCACTAACCTCATTTAAATATATAATAATTTAAAAACTTAACAAGGGTGAAAAGGTAATTTAAATAAGCTACATATTTTGAATTAGAACTCTTAATAAAAATGTTTAAATGAAGTTTATTGTTTTTTTTTTTAATTAATGGACTTAATATGTATAAGTTTTTTATATT